TACTTATCACCGCAGAGCTCTCGGAATTCCCTGCAGCCGATCCATTCGAATCCTCGTGCGGGAATGACCGCACGAAGCATCCGTGGAAATCGCGCGCTATCGCTGTCGGCGCCCTCTTCGCCCAAACGACTGAAGATGGAAAGAAGCCCCCTCCTGATCGCACTCAGAGGGAGATCCAGTGAGCAGATGACTTCAGGCGGACCCTCATTCCGATTGTCAATCTTGGTCGGTGGGAGTGATCTCACACCTGTCTGGGGAACAGCAGATTCTTGGTTGGAACTCGGAGCACGTAGAATCGTGAAAGATACCGGTGCATACTTACTATCGTCGTCGGAACCGTTCCCTTCCTCTTTGTCGGAGGATGACGAATGACCAAGGGATTTGTAGTGGACGCCTTGTCCCACCGAGTCGGGACGTTTTGCCACAAGCATGCCCAGCGAGAAGTAATGGATGGCCTTCTGCGTGAATACTCTTTCAAGTAAAGCATTCACAGTAAAAGCCCGTTACTACGAACACGAAGGGACCGACGAAACTGGTTCGTTGTACCGAATTTTCGCTGTAACGAATGCCGCTCAACACTATCCCTATGGCGAGCTGGCCAAAGGAGGAGGAATTCCTTGTTCGCTGTACCGAGAAATTCGTTGTAATGGGGGTCGTTATAACGAGCTTTCACCGTATTTACCATTTTCTGGTGTTTTGAGAATGTATGATTAGGATCTACCTTGTGTCCAAGTCTTTTCGGGTCTCACAAGTTTCCCAGTCAAATAGTTGATCACAACTGCATATATACAAATGGAACTGCGAGCATCTTTCGTGACAAAGTGTGCATATACAAGTTTCGTCCGGCTCGTGTCTGATCTTTTTGTTGCATATGATGTGATGGAAGCCGTGTGCAGCTCCTCTGGTGATGTGATGTCTCTTTTTGAAGTTCGCTACTTTCCAACACTCCGATGTCATTGCTGGGCGGGAGTAGAATGCTGGGTCGATCGCTTCTCTCTTTCGCCTGCAGCTTCCGACATGTTCCTGGTATGCTGTGGTAAGCGGGAGATCAAATTTCGCTCTCAGGGTCTCGGTCATCCTGTCTGTGTCTGCGAGAGGGAATACGAGTCTGTTCTTGGTTGATCGGTGTAGCTGTAGGGCCATTTTGACGTATGCTGCTTTGAGTTTGTCGAAAGATTCCAGCTGTGGTCGGGTTAGACTTTCCCAGATAAGCTGTATTCCGTATGATGCGATCGGTGATATTTTCAGTTCAAAGAGAGCGAGGGCGGTCTGCAGCGACAGCTCGTTCGGACGTGGGATCGAGCTGAATGCTATCTTCGCCTTCTTCAGCCTCTGCTCGACGTGTTTAGCGAAGTTCTTTCCGTCCCTTGGTAGCTCGATTCCGAGGTAGAAGAAACTCCTCACTTTCTCGATGCGATCGTTCCCAATCTTGAATACGTCTGTCTCGGCCTTGGGGCCTCCCCTTCCAAATTTTACGAGTTTCGTCGTCGATACACTTATGACCAGTCCATTTGCTCCCGAGTAATCGTTCAGAGTCTTCATTGCTTTCTGAAGTTGGGTTCTCGAGCGTGAGAATAGGACAGCGTCGTCTGCGTACAAGGTGCAGGAGACCAGGTTATGTCTTTCGGCGATCGTTTTGGGGAGATCGTTCAGAAGAACCACAAATCCCAGGGGTGAGAAATTGTCCCCTTGAGCGAGGCCGGTCGTTTGGTGGAAAGCTGGTTGCTTCCCGACTCCATCGTCAATGGAGACCGTCCCCCCTCGAAGCATCGCCAGAATCAGTCGAAGCGTTTTGGTCGGGACACCAAACCTCGCCATCTTCTCAAGGATGATTGTTCTTGATGCGAGATCGAAGGCTGCTTTATAATCGACGAATACTGCGTACAACGGTGCTTGGCCCTTCTTGACGGCCATCCTGATCCTCTCGAGTAGCTTGCTGCAGGCTGTGATGGTCGATCTGCCGCGTCTGAACCCGAATTGTTCCTCGGGGATGGCGTTTTTGAATTCAAGAAAGTCGGTCAATCTCTCGCTGATCAAGTATGATAAGAGTTTGCTTAGGGCGTTGCGCTTTGCGATTCCTCTCCATGAGGCAGGTTCCAGTGGGTTCCCCTTGCCTATGGGAATGATAGCGAGTTCACAGTTTCTCCATTCGGTTGGGATGTCTCCCTTGTCAAGACAGGCGTTTAGAAGCTTCGTGATGAGTGGTGTCAGCGCTCCACATTGCTGTAGATCTTCGTTTAGAATTTGGTCGGGTCTCGGAGCTTTAATTCTCGGCAGATTCTTGATGGCGTCGAAAACGTCCGCCGTTGTCCACTGAGATTCGAGCTGTTCAACCTCCCAGGTCTCTGCTGCGTCCCGCGCCCATGCTGTGCTCGGGACCTCGGATGGGATTCTGTTTATGCTTCGATATAGGCGAGCGAAGTGGTTCTCCAGTTGGTCTGCCGGGATTGGGCAGTTATCTCTTGCATTTTGCTTTCTCAGCCAGCGGAATGGATGTTTCACCGCTTCGTTTATGAGTTCGAGTTCCTTTTGTCGTGCGAATTGCTCTTTCTTTTGCCTCAGCATCCTTTTGTAAGCGGCTCTCGTGTAGTGTAGCTCGGCCACGTCACGCCTTCTGCGTGAATACAGTCTTGCTAAGCAGGTGCGAACACTCGATTCCCGTGCCTAGGAACTCCCACGAGACATCGCTCACTCGCTCTCCCAATCATTCAACTAGTATTATATCCGTTCTGCTGTTGAGATCTGCGTGTCTGCATGCATGTAGGTGCGCGGAACGACCTTAATGGTCTTTATCTTGCGAGACTCGCCGCTGGCCGAGCCGGAGGAAAATGGTATTTCGATGAGCTGCAAGGGTAGGTGAAGATCGCTCGGCCTTCGAATATACATCATTCGGGATCGTATTCCTCGAATTGTCTGACCCCTGCGATACGGACCAGAGCCCTTTTCTCGACACTGAAACGTGAGTCAGCGCAAATTCCCGTGCCGACTCCCGCAGATTTCCGAGTAGAGCATTTTCCCAGCACAGGAGTCGATGACGGACTGACTTTTCTGGTGTTTAATATGTCTTTGGCTCCTTCCGTCCAAAAAGCTGACGACCTCTTGTATCTCCATGTGATTCCACCCATCGTCGAGGATCTCAGGACGGAAGAGGGAGATTAAAGTGTCGTCGTCTCAGCCCAAATCCTACCGAGGATAGCTGACGTACTCGGTAACCCACACCGCTTCTTGACAGTCGAAGAGAAACACCTGTCTCTCCAATGTTGAGCACTCACGCTCGCTGAAAAAATACATGACGGACAGACAGCGGGTTTTAGGGTCTAGGAAAAAATAAATTCGATGTTGGCTCAGACACGGAAAATTGCCCCCCTGACGACTGAAAACAAGTCAACATACACGGGAGCAACATCGAATGAGTTGCAAACTCCCTCAGCCGAACATTTCTGCTGAATTGTGGATTTTCACCCTCGGCTTCAAGCGAGTTGCAACGCGGAATGAAAAGCCACGATTTCTCGAAAATTTTCCAGAGCATCCGGTACTCCAACCTCTTTATTGAGAATCGGTCATCGACCGTAGATGTCATCCTACTCGTAAATAATTGCATTCCGTGAACTTACTCTTGTTCAGTCAGAATGATACTCAGGCCATCCGGTGAAACTAAAGATATCCGATAGTAGAGCCAGCTGTCGTGTCGTCTAGCGACGCTCGCGAGCAAATGTACGGTTGAATTCCGGTGACGGGACCCGGGAAGGCCCCGGGCGTTGTCGCTCTTCGATTAGAACTGGCTACCGATTTTGAGCATCTGGTCTCCGGTGAGAGACGCCGTACCATCGAGAAATAGAATCGCCGCTGCGGGTTTCCAGCCCTATCTATCATCGCTTTGCAGATGTTGAAGTGACGACAAAATCAACGTACGTGTATAGCATATAAGTTCGAAGCAAGTGAGATTCGGACGGAAGAGTAAATATTCCATCCGAATCAAATAACGAACCCCGAAGCGAACCGAACTCTAGACTTCAAAGAAACTCGAGCGAGTTGTGAGACGGAGTTTTTTTCCTCCTGAAAACTCTCCCGAAAACGCGTCCGCCCAAGCATTCAAAGACTTGATCTCGATTTCCATGAACCCCCTCAATATTCTCGTCTTGCTCATTACCAAGAAGGAAAACGCAGAAAAATTCATATGTACAAGACAAGACACCGCCGTGCTTGACTAACCAAACATCTGACGGCATCGAAGATATACGTTCGTAGAGCGTAGAGTCTCCGCTGCGAAGAAGTCGCCAAGCATTCATCCCCGCGAGCCCTTATGATTTGATCTCGTCTCAAAATCTGTCTAGCGGGTCCAATGGCTGATTTCTAGGAATAATTCAACCAGGAATTTCCCCTACCCTTTCTCGGGAATGACTTCCGACATTTCCAAGAATGACAGCTTCGAGTGAGATCCGCGGAAAAATGCATCATATGCAAACGATGAATGATGTCTTGACAGAATCTTGGCAGACCTCGAGAAATATATACGTCTCTGTATGTCTCTCTCTTGCTTATATGGAAAGGTGATACGTCGTCGGTCCAAATTGGTGGTTCGCCTATTTGGTTTGTTTGTCGATGGGTGATGGCGTCGACGTGTGCCGTCCCAAGAAGAAGTGAGCAACAGTGCTTCTTCATGGGTAGGTTACAGTATTTTAGATTACAATTCGACTCTCTCTCTCCGTCCCGCGGTTCCCCATTGGTTCTGATGCTACACTATGTATATATGTCTTGAATGGAATCAAATCATGCTCGGTTCCATGTGCTGTTCCGTGCACCGTCGCCACCGATACGTCACTTGTTGTGTTCCCATGTAATCGCTCAACCTATGTACTGCATCCATTTAATGTACACAAAAACGAACCGAACCTGTCGATATCCTTTGGGCGCATTCCTAAACAAAAATTGGCACGGTGTTCTCCTGTTCTGAAGAGAGGTGCTCATCAGCACTTGATGTAACCGCGCACCGGTGGACGTCAGACTTGGGTATGCGTGTTGACGGACAGGCGGTCCGTGTCCAAAGGAGGTAAAGGTCCGGGATGGTGAAGCGGAGGCAATGGCGGAGAATAACTGCCCGGGAGAACAGGGGCCTGAGGATGAATGCAATATTAGCTTCCGATTGGATCAAGCTCTGAGACGTCACAGTCACGAGACAAACTACGGAAATCGTGAGAAAAGATTACGTTCAGTATGTCCTGATTGAAATCTCTCCCCGCGCGAGTGTGCACAGAGCACTTAGAAACGAACAGATTCCGCTGCGATAGTCTATGGTGCGATAGTGCGAGAAAACTCTCCATGTTGCTGTTTTTAGGAAAAACAAACAAGACCGTCCAGCAAACTCTGATCGACACGACGTTGAGCACCAAAGTGCCCACATGGCAAGTGATGAAAATCGGTCCATTGAGCCCGCAAACATGTTTTCCGCGAGGAATGAAAAGGGGGAGCTCGAGCGGGTTCTGGGCACGGATCCGGCAATCAATTGATAGAGTAATATTCCGACATGAGAATTTTATCGAAGCAGGCGACAATGAACGCTTAATCGGAATTCCCGTCGCGAGCTCCGCCTGACCACAAGAAAAGTCCGACTTTCCCAAAACTATTGCTTCATCGCATAGAGCGAATCATGCCAAGGGAGAGTAAAAACCAATTGAGCAAATGCCACCCGGCCAAGTCCCGCGTAATTTGAGCTTCAGCGTGACGGACACGGTGCTCTTTCACGTTTGCCGAGCGGACAGAAGACGTGGACGCGGCCAACATTCGGTCGTGCTAAACTAGTTTTACGGAAGCTCGGGAGGAAGTCTATCGCTTAGGGTGCGGTCATTCGGCTGAACAATACACTCGGGGTACATTGGGAGCCACGGCTGGTGATCAAACGCAGATTGCAGACAATGTGCCGGATAATTGGAATCGTGACGGAAATTCACCATTTTAGCGTAGAGGTCATCGTTGGCGATTCTCGGATCTCTGAATAAGCCGATCGAGGGTTTGCAGCGGTCAAATTCAAACCTTGGAGTTTCTCAGACCGAATGATCTTGGGGATGGGAGAGATGTCTTGCGACACGCTCAATTCGGAATTTCGAGAACGTATTGCGCGCAGAAGAACACACGGTTGGGAGAAGCTACGAGGACTTTCAAAATTCTCTCTATAATAGGGTTTTCAGAAGTCAGGTAGTAGGGGGTAAGGCATCGTTGGTTAGTACGACCCCTCGCGTACCCTTCCTCCAATGAGTGGTCTATCGTTCTGAGTGCCCGTAATCGACATGCGCACTTTCGCCCGCATCGCTTCGTACATCGTCATCTGGGGAATGAGAGGAGAAAAAATCGAAGGTTACTTTCTGCCTGGACCTGATGCGTCTGACCCCGAAAATTTTTCCTTCAGCGTGGAGCTGATTGGCGAGCCGGGCCAGCTCTCGGAGAAGTCTGCGAGATCCGGAAACTTCCCAGAGAGCGCCGCTGTCGAGGTCTCACCTTAGATCGGGCAGCTTCCATGCGTGCCTTGTAGCAAAACTCCACGAGGGCCACAACCATGGCCAGAACGAGTCCGCCGATCAGGATGTAGAAGCAGCCAGCCACGTTGCTCAGTGTCAACTCGTTTTGGGCCGACTCCTGACCAGGAAAATCTAGTGTGAGTGTTTGTGGGTGCGACCTCCTCTAACTACGCGAGACGGGACCAGAGGAACCGATCGAGAAGAGCGTTCCCTGTCCCTCCAACAACCCAGTCGATGATGGCACAATCACCGACATGCATCACCACAACAACAAATAAGCAGGCGGAAACTCCGCTTCGAGCAATTCGCCAGTTTCCTGCTGCATGGGAGAGAAACGCGAACTATTCCACAACGGAATTGTTCGCTGTTCCCGTTCGCCTTCGGGTCGACAGAAGACTCGTCATCCCAATCGACGTCGGCGTCTTTCAGGTCGCTGAATCACACACAAAGCGGAGCACTTTTGGGAAGAACACAATTCGCTTGAAGAGTGTCTGGACCCGAAAGCAACTTCAAGATAACCCCCGGGGGAGCTCGAAAAACATATCCGAGTCGCACTCGGCTGGAACGATGTACGGACTGCTGCGGTTCGTTACACTCACCTTGCTATCGGTAGTTCTACATTCACTCCGATCGTACCACCACTTATTCTCTAAGCGAGCCAGATCGCCATTCTCCTTCATCTGGAGCACTGCAAGGTTGAGTCGATCCCTGCAGATTCGGAGTCGGGGAAAACGAAATTATCACTTTATTCGCCTGAGATCATTTCCAGACCCTTTTCCCACAATCACGGTCATAGATGATCCTGGCGGATTCGGAAGCGCCCAGAGCAGCCAAACAGATAAGGTAAACACGCATGCGTTTTGATTGCGGCAAGAGAAGAGAAGTTTGGCCCGAAGCTGAATGGGTCGGCGGGATGGTGCGAGGCCGCCCCCCCCCTCCTCGGATACATGTCGTCTTGCAGAGGCAAGCAAAGCCTAAGCGAAAAACATTATTCCTGCTGTCGTAATAGGGGAAGCAATCTGCATTCCCACCCCTCCTCCCCCCCCGATTAATGCTCGTGACGAGTCAGGTCTCCGATCGAACCGCTCAGAAGAAACCGTGCAGCGGTAGCGAGAGGCAAGAGCGCTCTGATGAAGAGGTACTTACGCACATGGCATTGGGGGGTGAAATTCGGAAAGCAAGAGAAAGTCCACAAACCTGAGGGTCGACCCGAGCGGTGTGGCGACTCCATAGCCTTTTGCGTCTAAGTTTCGTCCAACTTTCATGGTGTCGCAAGGCTGTCGTTCGTTGATGTAGTCATTCTTGGTAGACTCCATCAGGAAGGCGTACTTTCCCTTTGATTGGCGGACCCGACTTATGCCCTCCTCGTACGTTTGGGTGAAGACATGCTTCCGGGCAGACATGAACTCCCACATACGGGCAAACACATTGATCTTCGATTTCTGCAAGGGTCGAAAGAGGCGCTCTTTGAAATCGACTCCCCCAATTATTGTGCATGCACAGTCATCAAGTCGCGTGAAATATTGCCATCGACTCAAGTGTATCCACAGAGCATTGCTTGCGGGTCGTGGGAAGTTTTTTTTGGGTCATCCTCAGGAAGAATGTAAAAAAAGGCAATAATAATCAGTGCCGCTCAAGCATAACGAGCAACAGAGACGAGAGCGGCGGCGACGAGTTCGACGAGAAGTAAGAGGACAGGTGATGAACAAGATCCGTATGCGAAGGTCATCAAGGTCGACGACGTCGACACTCTGTTCCCGGAGATAAGACTTCGCGAGAGAAATGAGGAAACATCGAGGATAGCAAAAACTACGAAGACCACTCCTCGAGCCGCGGTGTCGCTGTGAAGGACCGGGGAAAAAATGTGCCGACGAAGCTGATCCACCAGGAAGCAGAGAACCAGGGAATCGGAGTCGAATAATGTGAATCTTCTAGCCAGTTCAGATGACAAGAGCGTTGGCGCCGGCCGCCGTCGTCGCCGCCGCCGACACCACCAAGTGCTTCGCTCGCCTCTACCCCTACTTGCTCTTGCGGTTTTTTCCTCCGCCGTTTCGTCCTCTCGCTCGTGTCTCCCACTACTGTTCCATTTTGCTAACCACCGACCATATCGGAGGCCACCGGACCACTCAGAGGAACAAGAAGAGAAAAATCACTTCCGGAAACCGAGTCTCGATGAGGCTCTCTTGCCCCCCGTTCTTATGGAGCTTCCGAAACCGTTGTCGGGTCTAGTCGACGCCGTGCTTCTCGGTGCACACATCTCTGCTTCTTAGTCTCTCATGACGCACGATACATCGCTACAGCTCATTCATCCCAGAATTGCTCATCGCTAAATCCTCGGAAGAAACACAGAAGGATAATGATTCCCAATAAATCATGCGTGAGTATCGAGGATCATAAGATCCTTCCCGCGCGGAGAAACAGAATAAAACAGAACACGTGGTCGGCGCTGCCTCGTTATATCTGAGAATGGATTGAGCGATCAAAATCCCCAGCCTGATGGATTTCGGCGCGAAGCGATCGCTACCGAACATCTTTGCGTATGAATTTGCCCGAATACCCGGTTGCTGGGATTCGTTTGAGCATGTGTACTTCGCGGATCAAGTCCGATTCCGCCTCGAATTTCTTTAGAATTCTTCAAAATGAGAACTTATTGCCTGATTCCTCTCTATGTGCCCATGACCGATAAAATCGATCTACAGCCATATCGCCAAGTCTCGAAGATCCGGATCTGATCAGTGTTCAGGTTTAGGAAGTGGCCATCCCGGTATGCCCCACGGCGGCGGTTGCGGACGGATGCTGTAATTCCTTGGATGGTTTTCCGCTGAAAAATCTCTGGAAGGGGGGGAATCTCGATCTGCCTTCGCCGCATATTTGTGGGCAGGGACGAGGAAATGATTAGGTCTCACACCTCTGTCGAGGCACGCTAATCTAGCGGAATAATTCCAGACCGTAGTTCTGCATCGAAAACCCTCGCTCTGGAGAATCCGAACCTCGACTCCACGCATTCCGTGGAATACTTACCCTGAAGAAATCTTGAGTGGAAGAGGATTCGAGGGTTCCATACTCGACCTCAGTTTGCTTGGCGAGGTCGTCTGCCGAGTTGATAGGTGTTACCATACGTTCCACTGTAAGGAACGCAGCCAGATTGGCAGTGTATGATGAAATGATGATCAGAGTGAAGAACCACCACACGCCTCCTACGATTCGGCCCGCTACGGATCTAGAAATGTGAAAATGATCATTATTTGCAGAATGAGTTTCTGCTCAAGCTCTCCAGCCACAGAATATCACCAATCAGGCCATCCGACCCTCGGGATTCTCGGATTCTTAGAAGATGATCACGCAAGAGGAATAACGCGATCGGAGTGTAAAGTTTGGCTGACAATTATTGAACTGGAAGAGTGCTCTCTTTTGATGGATCCCTAGAATCGAAGGCCAAAAGGCCATCCTTCGTACTATGTGCCGAAAGTGTTGTACCAGTGTGGGGAGAATGAACACGACAAACGTTTAGCAGCGCAACATCTTTGGTAACAATTTAGTAACCCCCACGTAGCGGGACTATGAGAGCTCCCGACGAAACAGTGTGGGGCGATTTCTATCGGAATCATAATCTCCAGGGCTTGTGCAAGCTCCGATGGCACCTTCTTGCCATGGGCTTGTGGCGGAATTGAAGGGCTTGTGACATCAGCTGCAGCTTTTCTACATATATTGCGTCCACGGCGCCAGTACAGAACGGTAGTCCTCTCCGTGAAACGTCAACATGCACGCTCAACTGAGGACGCGCGTCTTTTTTTCAGGCCGGAAGCTCTGATTGCGGCAATTTTTCTCCAGCATCCACTAGAGATTTGCTTTGCGTCCGAGTCCGAGTGGAATCTCGCGGTACATTTCCTGTTTATGGGGCACAACCGACGAACGAGCGGGAAAACGGAGACCATCAGAGAAGTCTATCAGACGAATCATCTTTTTCGTTTGCCATGATTGTTGCTCGATGAGAGTCCAGACTCGGAGGATCGCTGGTTCTGTACAGGTAGCGTGTTTTAAAAGATGTCGCCCTCGAAAACGTTCCAAACAAGAGAAGAAATCTCCCCACACTGGTTCAGGTTTCGGCCGCATCGGAACAAATTGTCTGCAACAAGTTCGCATTTCGAGTGCACACCCGAGACATTCGGGATCTCCTCTTCCGATGGAGAACACATTACAAGGCACACAGGGAAGTGACACAAACGAATTAAGCGCTGGACAACGAATCACCATCAGACAAAATATGAACATTCGTAGGAAGGTCTGTCCCTTCTCGAAATCGACGGAGTTGGAAATTTATCCGGGAGTAGATCGAGCGGTCGTCTGCTCCCCGGTGAGGGGAGCATCCTATTCGTAATCGAGCTCAATGGATTCGCGAATGCTCGACAGGTGAGAATGGAAAACTCGATGAGGGGTCAAAGCAGACGATCAAAGGGATTAACTGTAATGAGGGATGTCATGACGAGTTGGGGGAGTGGGGAGAAGTCTATCCGAAGATCGGCTGACGACCGGCGAGGAGAGCTCCCGAGTGGTAAATGGGACAGTCAGTCACTCAGTCAGTCAATTAAAAAAGTTTGCGGGTGTATTAGTGTGACCAAATGATGTCTCGCTCAGACAAACAGTTCGAAACAGACGGCTCAATTACCTCGGGCAGATATCACAGCCCTGCTGCATGAAGGCCCCTAAAGAGAACCAAAGACTGTTGTACAGGGAAAAATCGTTCGATACTGAAGGCCCCACGAAAGTTTCCTCATAACGCCATTCATGAGGCGAGAAACGTGACACGAGGAATAGCACCACCGAGACGCCGACGTAGGCGAAGATTATACACATCCAGATCTCTTGCGACAGTGGATTCATGAATGAAAATACGCCCGGCTTCTTCTTCATGGGCTTTTTGATCATGATGCTGATGCCAAGCGACATGAACGGTTTCGTGAAGTCGATAACTCGTTCTCTCGCTGACGTTATCGTGAGTGGGGCAATGGCCAGGTGCGCTTCCTGCAATGAGAAAATCGACCGATTCAGCTCGGCTGCTTTGGCGTAATGTCACACTCGGAGTTTTCCGAGGCGAAATGATTTCAACCAACCTTTCGGATGAGTTCGCCAACCATCCCGTTCCAACCGGAAGCAGCATATTTATCCTGACCGCCATACTTGCTGTCGTTGACCAGCTTGAGGACATAACCGATTTTCATGTGGTCGGCTACGAGGTCAGCGAGATCTTTGCAATAACCTTCGTACCGCTCGTTGCCCACTAGCTCCTTGCCGTTCTCTGATCGTTTCTCCATCAAATATGGCTCTTCCTGAAAACGATATTGCGATTTCTCCTCGAGGAAATGTCGCTTTTCCTCCTTTTTTATGAGGTCATTTCCGAATGTTGGAGCTCCTCGAACATTCGGGCGGGGAAAAACATCCGGTCCCGATTCCGGCATCTCGGTCTGAAGTGTCCATGAATACTTCTCGAGACGCGGGATGGGATAGGATATCCAGATCGGTGGAAAACGCCTGATCATCAGCATGAGACTCACCAGGATGCTTGTGACAATGTAGGTTTTGTTCTCGAACTCGTTGTCGAGTCGGACTCTCTTGTACTTCGGTGGAAACAGTTGCAAGCCGAGGCTATCGCTCCATTCAGCGACTTTCACCATCTCGCTGTTAGTGGTCATTTCGACCACGTCAACGGAGAAGTTCTCCCGATAGCCCCGGTCATCGAACGAGATGTTTCCAGTCAAGCCGACGATATTTGTCTGGAAGGCGACATTGTGTCGATTGAGTCGTCCGTAGTTTGCTTCGTTAACCACTCGGCGGAGCGCATGGGAAATAAATAAAGTTCTCGGAAGGGGAATTTGCGTAATTCTACAGAACGAGTGGATTATTTCCGAGACCCGCGGACCCTAGGCGCGGAATTCTCAGGGAGTTCCCTTCGCACGGGCTGAATATTGACGTCGGATTGAATTTTGATCGAGGCCGCTCTGCGAACAGCGCGGGACTTTGGGAAAAACTCAACGGTGAATATCTTCGAAACATCATTTGTGGGAGAGTTCCACGTCTCGACACCTGTAGTGAAGATTCTCTCCGGCCCATTCAGAACATTGTCGCCTGAATTCACGGCCGCGCTCCGCCGTAAACAGGAAAGGGTACAGGTGGCGGCAAAAGCACTCGGCGTCGGCTTAGGAGAAGAGCAGCTTCAATCCTTTTCCCCGTACAGAATCAAGACTCTCATTACTCGACTGCCCCGCACAGGACGTGTTTCTGTCCTCAGATCTTGGACGGCTAGGGTAACTCGATGATATTGCCAATCAATTTGTGTTGTCGGCAAGTTCCCCCAGTCCCGTCTTCAACTTCCCTGCTCTGGACTCTAAGCATATGCTCATCCCTCTCTCGCTTTCATGCCTCTTCCTTTGCGAGGAGCGGAGAGGAAACTTTCCCGCGCGCCGCAACGGCTTCGATCAACCTCGCGACAATCTCCTGACTCCCATCTTACGAGATGACGATACTTGTAACATTGCGACTCGAGGGACTCAAACCGAGGACAGGGACCCCGTTCCGTCTCGGGTATTATCCTCCTTGTCCGTTGGCCGTTACGTCTTCAAGGGGACCGTACTTACCGCTCTGAGGTAGTCGACGATGATCTCGCCGTGCTCCCAAGGAATTGTTGGGTTGTTTTGGCAATCGACACCGCGTTGACCTCGATTGTAGATTTCACCTCGTCGGGTGTTGTTCCGAAAGAGATCTGGCTTGTTTTTCAGCAGTCGAGAAAATGCGTCTAGGATGACCAACGCTGTATCGTGCAGGAGTGCAACATCAGCCTGGAATCGAGCGGAAATTTCTCAGAGGACTCGTCTCGTCAGAACCCGTCGGCGTGGATATCTCGTCGTCATCTGGAGTAGAAGTTTCGGCACCGGCGAGGGAGTCTGGTCTCAGAGTTTGTCTTGGAGCGGTAACGAAAAAACCATCGAAGCGCACCACAGGCGTCACGCTGTCTCGTGTTAACATTTGCGTTTGTTCGGCGGCTTTAAATCTGCCATTGACGTGACAGGTATTAGCGGGAGCTGTTGAGGGACGCTGCTCGCGTGCCCGGCTGTTTTCTGCTTGGGAGTTAGAGGTTGAGTCTCGAGCCTTCGAGGGTTCCTCGAGACTTACGGCGAGAGGGGCGCTGTGTCGAGCTGCTATGCCTGCTCGAATTCCTTTGATTGAAAATAGAGCCAGCACAAAAGAGTGGTATGCGAGAGGCGTCGTCCCAATAGAATCCAAATGATTCCTTGAAACACAACAATGAAAGAAATGCTTTTCAGAACAAGCGCCGCCGCTGCAAACGGTCCCAAGTGCATTCACTCGGGACGGTTCCGGTGCCGCTCCGGCAGCGAGAGTTTGTTCAACGCTGGGACGACTAAAACGCAGTAATAAAATCCGACTCTGAAAAACTTCCGTTCTGCGTTCGACAGGATGGAGTTTTCTCCCGGAGCTCGAGTCACGCAGAGCACATCTAAAGGACAGGGGATGCCGCACCTTGGAAATCCAAATGCTGTCCCATCCGGTCCCTAACGAAATTTCCGAAGATTGGAAACGATATTTCCGCATTTCCCGCTCCTATCAAGCTCTCGATTGATATGAATCGCGGTAGATCGTATCTACTTATCCGTAATCATTACTGAATACAAAACAGGAGACCCCAAGTCTCATACGCCATGCGGAACACTCATGCACAGTGTACTCACTCTCAGATAATCGGTCCCGGCTCCGGGCCATTTGATTGGATCGAGTTTCTGCCATTGCTTGATAAACTCTTTAACTTGCTCACGATGAGGTTGAACGACTCGGAATCCGGTCACATTGAGAACGCCGAGCTCGAGAATTCGGTTATTGAGGTATTCGTCCATCACCTGGGGGAGCGATAACCGATGCCAAATACACTCCCTAGTCATCGGTCCCGGGGCTGGGTTCCATTGAGCTTCAGAATAGAACGGAGATTGAGGTTCCAGGGTCGCCTCCCGTACAGATGCCTAGTCTCCGGGTCGGTGGCTTAGCGGTGTTCACAAAACGAACCAAACCGATTCCGGCAAATGAAAAAGATAGATCCCGATGCGAGCCAGCTCGCGCGAAGCTTCGCCCTAATTACCGAAGGAGGCGGAACAGGCGGCAGCCGCGCGGCGACGCCCGACCACCTCCGGAATTAGTCGCGACAAAAGAAACAAGCTTAGCCCCTCCCGCGTCCATTACAGCTAATTCCTCTTTTCACAACAAGTCTTTCACGACGAGCCTTTTGAGAATCGGTGAACCGAATGGAAAAGTAAATCAGGCAATCCATCATCAGGAACGACTTGTCCGAGCGGTCCATCGACTGACCGACCGTTCGACCGATGCGGTGCGACGGTGGCGCCTGCGCCGTTTTCTCGTTTTCACTTACCAAACTCGTGAGTAGAAAATGAAAATTCCTTCGACCCATATTGACGTCTTGCACGTGGCTAATGATGATATCGCGAGCCATATCGGCACCGCAGTCTAACACAACGTATTTTCGGGTTTCTCGATGACTTTCGCAAATTAGCGACATGACTCCAGCCGTACAGTTGCTGTCGGGTTTCTCGAGATCGCGTAAAAAGTTGTTTGCGTCTTCGGCGTTTTCGATTCGTTTAACAACCTTGATTTCGACATTGGTGTCCATCGACATCCGGAAAAGTTGTTGGAGTTTGAGCAAACCTGTAGAATAGGAAACGTTGAGAACGCGTTGAATGTGAACAGCATCGCCGATGTGATTGAGCGACCCCGGGATCGGGTTTATCGTGATATACTTGGGAATCGTTCGCCTGTCAGGCGGAGGTCGCTCACGCCATAAATAATGGTCTGGATTCGAACAGCCGAACAATAATTCTTCCTTCCAATCTGTCAATATTTTGAAACCGTACGCGGCGGCAATCGCTATCGGTCCCAGCTACGGACTGTCGGAGCGCAATGGGGCAGCTACACAATGGTTTCCGCGGAAGTAAAGGCTCTGTGTGATCCTATGGAAGAACAAAAATCATTCGACGAGTAGCACTCGCGATAGCAAGAATGTTGTGACGAGGAATCCCGTCCTTCCGATGCGCTTGTCGGGCTTTGGCAAGAAAACTCTGTTCGGAATCAAACCAGGGGACGGTAATCCTCGGGGACCGTCTTCTTTCGGAATTGACTTTTAAGGAGCGATCCCACCTCCTGACCTCCCTACGGCCAAAAAAAGCGTCGAACAGCTTTACAGGTCGCGGAGCTCTGCATCAGAGACCGTTTGTCGGAGCTTCCCCATGTGCGCACATTCCTGACGATGCCTTGTTAGAGCGTCGTTCCACGTAACGAGAGCGGCGAAAGGGATAGTCGATTCCCCGAGTCGACGAACATTCTGAAAGACCCGTTCACATCTCGCCTTGAAAACGGCCCCTAGTGTCGCCCCGATTCAGGTGCGTCTCGAGATCGGCATCGTTCGGGAGTGCCGAGCGCTCCACCCCTTGACGAACTTGATCTGGCTCAAAATGGAAATACCGAATTCCAGACCCGAGAATCAGAGTTTCGAATCTTGGAACAACATGCTCTGGAGGACACTCTCCGTGTCGGAATTGGAATGTTTGATGTCTCGTGTCATTTTACGAACGGATCAAATCATGATACGATTGAGATAATCCGAGGCAGCGGTCATGGAAACGGACTTTCCCTCCGCATCAGGATCTGGTCGGCATGCCGGAGCGTGGAATATAGACCCTCGAATTACGGTTATTTGCGCTACCGAAGATAAGCAGCAGCAGCAGCTTGTGGGAGCTCCCGCCACGATTACACCAAGCCTCGCGGAATAGGAGGCTTCGCCGTCGATCGGACCGAGCAAAATACCACAGGAACAGACGGACGGGTTTCTTATCGGGTGACATACCGGCGCTCCCGGGAGAACTGCACTACAAAAGAGAAGATGGAAAAGAGATTTGTATTCTTGTCACCGTGCCCGAAGCAGGCAGGAAAACATCAAGCTGCAGAAAAGTGGCCAGTCTGAGGGGAAACTCGTTTTTCCTCCAATAGAGCCCGAGCAAATCGGAACGACTGGCTCCGAGGAGCTGGAGGTCGAAGTTTCCTCGACCCCGATTGGTGGAGAAGAAAGGATTCTTCAATTCTCCCTCACGGATGTTAGCACTTGACATTCCCATGGAGACGCAGACGGGAAGCGTGTTAGGATCAGCTCTGTCTTGGCCGAGGACTTTGCCGGCCTGTCCTGCCGTCGGTTCTAGCGAGAGAACCCTGCGGTATCGACGAGCCTCGGGATAGAGAGTTCTCGTCCTGCTGGAAATCTCAGATATGCGCTGATTGACTCTAGAGCGAATAGCGCCCCGGCACGACTGAGGAACAATAAAACGATACGAGTTCACGGTGTTCCGAAAATCGCGGGGAGTTCTCCTCGAACAAGAAGACTCTCCGGGCGGGACGTTCATCGTCAAGAGTCCGAGTTTTATGACCCAGCTATCACCGATGGGTTTCTGCTTCCGAGGTCGAGTTCACGCAGCGAATATACTCCGGCAGATCGGGGCTTGGCCAAGGCCATCATCGCTTCTAATTTTTGTGAAGCGTCATTCCTCAAGATTCAAGCTCACGAGGTCAAGCGCGCCGTTCCAGAAGGCGTCGGTGGCGCACGTTCCACGGCCTGCCATCACATCCCGTGTCGGGATCAGACTCGCCATGCTGCGCTGGTCTGTTCGGAGGGAAATTCACTGATATCACTATCACTATTTTCAATATTTTCCACAGTGGATTTCCACAATTAACACGCGTGGTAATCTGGCGGGATCCCGAATCGATTCAAGAAGAGAAGATATCACGCCGAGTTAGCAGCAATGACTTGGACTCGACACGGGAGGTGCCGTCACAGATCCTTCAGCTCCCACCATCGCTCGGGCGGAGTCGATCCCGGCAGACGACTGACGTGGACTTACAGATGCCGGCTTCGAGCCTCCTCCTCCACGAGAATGTCGCTCAGCCCGCAGTGGAAGATATAATTGAGAACAAATGTATAAGGGGGGAACTGAGCCCGGATTTCGCGGGAGCCGCCGCGAGAATGAGGGACCCGGTTGTCGAAGCCATCCATCTGCCGTTTAGATGAGCATTCCGTCGGGATCGCATTGAAGAAACGTGTTCTCTGGCAAGCGTCGTAATTGATGATCACGCACGTGAATGAACGATGCTTCCAGGCCAAAGCACAAGTATTCATTATGGAGCATTCGAGGAGGGGGCGAGTTCGGAAAGGCGAACGGTGAAGCTTGGCTGCCGAAAGAGCGGCAGAGATATGGCCGCTAACTTAAGTATAAAAACATTTACATAACAATGACTCACAATCAGTGATAGACAATGCCGAGCCCTCCTCTACCTCTCAGCCCTGTTCTCGGCTTAACTGGGGAACAAAAGAGAACTGATAGGACTCGACCACCAGAAAGCTAGCCAGCTATACATATAGGCAGCATCCTGGCACTTTCTTCTTTGAGCTCCAGCAGGTCCTCTTTCCTTATAAACCTCCTTCCGCCTGCCATGTTCGCTCAGAAGTTTTTAATCGCTGAACGAAACACTCGAAGATTCGAAGGCGTGGAGCCACATCGTCGGCGAGCCGGGCTCTGTGCTCGACCTCCTTGGAGTAACAGCGGCGACAAGTCGAGATTCTGAAGCAGCGGCTGGCTGAGGGTCGCGTATTATCTGGTCTACAGTTTCCGCCTCTGACTCGGGAGAAAAACAGCTGAGCGTTCATTTCCGTCGAGCCGCTGGCCCGATACGTAGCTCTCTCGGAAGAGCAGAAGAAGCGCCATGATCCTTCCGTTGCCTTCTCAGGCGTTGAACGTAACTGGAGATACAGCGTGTGTGTCTCGCCGGCTTCCACACTCGGCGGATAGGAGCACCAAGGTGCTGGCCCTTATAAGGCTATGAGTGTTTCGAACTGTTCCACGGGGCAATGACAGGGTTGTGGACACCGAGCAAACTACCTCTAGCGCCGTCGGAGATGTTCATGAATCGATCCGATTTGGCAGTAAGAGACGAGTCCGCGATGAAGGGTCATCGGCGAATCGACCCTCAGATATGTGTGGAGATACATACCTCGAGTGATCTCGACCCGTGAGAGGATTGGATGAGATACCCGACACCGCTGCGTAGTACGACGCATGAAAAGTGACTTGCTTCAAATTCCGATAAGCCAAGCGTCTAACTGCGCTTAGCGACACCTCTTCGGACCGCAAACTTGGTGTGGGACGTGCCTTCGAGAGCAAAGCGGACCGGTTCTGGAGCTGCCTCGCTCCGAAGATTACTGTTCGAAGTAATTATGCACAAGCTGCAGGAATTACTTGAAGCGCGCTTTTTGAGGGAGAGCGACAGACGCAGAGCTTTCCCTAGAAGCGACAACCACCGGAATGTTATAAGTCCCACATGCGAGACCTGACGTGCTAAGTAAACCAGAAACGAGTGTAGGAATGACGCGAGAAATAAGTTCAAGGGCGCCTCGCCTCGCTCGATAGACCTTCCCTTCTTCTCGATATATCCCTACGGCGGTCTCCCATGATATGGGGACTCTTCCGTCGAAAACCTGGGAAGACCGATACGTGAAGTCACGGTCCCGGAGGATTCACCCGCACCCGGGAAGAAATTTATTTATGCGCGATTGGACCCCTCATCTCAGCTCGGGTCCCATTATAGTTTAAGCCCCGGGTCTGGTGAGTTTTCCGTCGGCATCCGTTGTCTGCGCAGTGTTCGATTCGAAAGATCGTCCTGTCTAAGAGACTCGATGAGTGAGGAATTAGGAGCGGCGTTATTCGTGCTTGGCCGTCCACTTTAGCATCCTTGCTCAGACGCTCAACGGGAAGATACGGGGATATGAAGCAAGCCCGAGCATCAAGCATGTTGAGAACTAGGGCGGAGTGGATGTCTGATCGAGGATGAGCGGAATGAATTATTCAACGATGCCACTGTGGCTAACAACTTGTTTAGGAGTGGTTGCGGAGGTGCTATGAGTGAGCTCGCTTGAACTTACCGTCGTCGGAGTTGTACATGTAGATAACGTAGGGCCATCGGTAATAAGTCACGATGTCCATAACGGCACGGAGGTAAGATGGCTTGACCGCCACTCCGAATAGAGCGGGTCGAGACTGGGCCAGCTCGGGGAATTCGGTCGTAACAAACGGCATGTGGAATGTGTTCGAAATAGACGCTATCGTTTCGTAACTCTGGTTCACCGTTGGCGACACCATGGCCATGATGCCTTTCGCCATTTGCCCGCACACTGCAATGCAACGAAAGTCGTTAGTCGCCGAAGTCTCGCGCAAGCTCGCATGGGTAAGTTCGTGTTTGTGCACGACACCCAATGTCGATACACCGCGATTTTCTTCCGGCCACTGGAGGCTTTTAACGAGCTCAGCTCGATGCGCCCAAGCCGCAACTCGGTAATCACTCGTTGTTTCAGATCCACCACAGAATCTTCAGTGTGTAAAACTGTGAACCGAGGAGGATGTTATGGAACCGAGAGCCTGCGTTTGACGTGAAGCTCCGGGTTCGAGGTTGGGCTCGAGCATATGACGAGGAGCAGATCCCTAGATTTACCTGTCGGATATCGTCCTGGATCAACTCCCGGAAACAAAATCAGGGTCTCTTGTAGATTCCGAAATCGGAACGACAAAGTGGACCGTCGATAAGACTGCGAAACGGAACGCAAAACTTTGTTATTCCCCCGGAAGGCCCCAGAGAGCACATGAATGAACTCGATTGCGCACCTCAAGCTCCACTGAGCCCTTTGTTGCTTGACTTAGAAAAAAACGTCTGATTCACGGGTGCACTTCGCCCAGCGAATCCAAGAAACATCATTTCCCTCTTCCGAACACACTGTGGGACGAGTGATAATAACGAACGGATCCAGCCGCTCGAGGCGAGCTCCTCTTCGGGAACACGCATCAATCCTCATTCGATTCGTCACGACTCGGATTTCCAGCGACTCGACGTCCGCATTGAGACCTACCCGTCTCAGTCTGATAATGCTCCTCGAGCTCATCTTCTTCTTTTATGTACCGAACGGACACGGAGCTGCGATCTATCCCTCTACGACGATAGGGCAACTTGGAGCTCTCGCCACAGTGCCCCGACCCCGCTGTCTCCGAGTAGGCTTGCTGACGGCGGCCGACGGCTGGCAAACCTCTTATTTCGGAAACTGACGTCTCGCGGTCTCCTTGTCGTTCTCCGCACATGCGTCTCGTCCCCCCTCCCTCCCCCGGGCCATCGTCCCGTCGAGTCCCCCTCCTGGAGCTAGGATCTTGAAGCGAGTTTTAAAGCAAGTGGCTTTTTGTGAACAACTTTCTACGCAATCTCCTCCACTCAAGTCGGCACTAGTTCGCCTCATATCCTGCCGGAATGGCTCGGCCTCGCTCATCCTCCTCCGCTCCCACGGCTGCTGCTGCAGCTGCTGCTGCTACTTCTCTTCATCCTCTTCAAATAGACTGGTCGAAGAGACGCCCGCCTAAGTAACACTTTTTGAGTGCGAAAGGAAAAAATACAATGATGACCTCATAAGCGTCCCCATCGTATCGTGGAAGAGATCGCTCCGCACTGTTTGCCAACGGTCCCACTCTCCGAACGGAGAAGTATAATATGTTGCGGTTCGCTGTCGTGGTTGATTCCGCCCAAGAGAGTCTGCGGGGAGCGCGAAAAATGGGATATGAGGAGAAACCATACTTCAGAAAGAAAGCGATTCCCTCCATTCAGATAACTCCGTCATTTCCCCTCCTGATTATCGCAAGGCAGCGTGAGACATCTCTGGATCACGGAACCACTCCATTTCGAGAAGGAGAAATTCACAAAATACATTTATTGCCAGTCTCGACTAACCACCCTGCCCATGAAGCGGTAATGACAAGGAAGTCCCATCCGAGTCGCGAATGTCAGCGCTCCTGCAGCTGAGAGATCCCGTCGTGACGCGCGGCGTGAGGTTCCCAAGGAGATCGGAGACCCTCCTATGCACACTCTACTGTTCTACTCCTCACAGGAACCTACACTACGCTATTTCTTCCATTTGCTGTGACGATTCGGTTTCTGAAAAGCAAAGATCCACCTGCTCTCCCCCCCTGCTTGCCTCTTCCACCCTTCCGTTCCCTAACCTCTGTCACTTCCCGAAATCGATCCTGTTTGAACGTAGGATGAAAAGCTCGGCCGAAGGCCCGTCGGCAGCTAGTCCTTGCCAATAGTGATTTAATGGGGAAATGATACCTGCGGGTTCCCGTAAACTTGATCGGTTCGTGATCCCGACTCGATTCTCTACGATGATATGATCGAGTCCCATGAATTGATGTGATCCAGTGAGATGTGATCGACTCCATACTGTGTTCATGAACCAGCGGAAAACCTATCAATCACCAGGTCGTGTCCGATTGCCTTCTTGACGTCTTCCTGTATTGCGTGTTCCGAATCGCCCACCGGAACTTCTTTCGAATATAAAATCAAATTCCTTTCCGTCGATAGATATAGCAGCAATCGGTGATCGCTGCGAACATGGTATCTCCTTCTCCCTCGAGTTCAGCCGCTGTGGGCAACCCGCCCTCAGGGGAACTACAGATCGAAACCTCGATGGACGGAAATATTCGGATACTTCGGAATCTATAAAAATTCCTGACCGGGGTCGGAGAATCGGCTGACTTCAAGAGAGACACTTGACACACCGTTCCGCTCTAAGGATTCTCTTTCAAGCGTAGAACATGGCTCCCTCTAGTGATCACAAAGACGTAGATGGCTAGTTTCGTGAGCGGCATCCAACGGACGGTCGGACACGGCTCCCGGCTCCGAGGAAATTAGGTGCAGCATATTCGATTGCGACTCCGATTTATTCTTGAAAATTGTCCGTTTGCTTTGCGATGCGGAGGGCGGGCACGAGTGTCCCCATCGATCTAGTGAACGCCAAGGTCCCGTGCGGCGATTTTCCTCCAAGTTCTATGAATCGTCAGCGCAGCTCCCTTGAAGCGAGGAAATCGCTCCAGCCCTTAGTTCGGGGAGAGCTGCTCCTTGATGATGTCTCCAATATCCTCAGGCCTGCAGAGCGGATGCTTCATATTGAATGTTTGCATAGCGGATCCTTCACCATGAACGTATGCGTAGAGCGAATTTCTTCATCGGACCTATGATTTTCGATGACCGATTGATCTCTGGATGTAGGGGGCGAAGCTCCCAGGAGTATCCGAAACCTCGCTCCACGAGGAGCTCGATTCAGGGAGTCTCGGAGAGTCCGGCGCAGGGGAAAGCGAAGCAAGCGTGCTGCCAGTCTTCACCGATGCGACGGTCCGATGACCATTTTTCAGGCGGATGCCCGCTCATTCGAAAGCGCGATGTGCCAGGAGACAGGTATGTACCTGATTCTATCTGAACGTGAACACACTTGCTTGTCAGTATGAAAATCGCTTAGGAGCGACATCACACGCATAATCAGCCATCGGGAGACGTCTCGTGGGACACCTGTACGATTGCCTCCGAATAATCAAAGTGACAGCTCGTCCGTGGCAGACCATGATCTGAATATTTGCTCACGAGAACACCCTTGACATCGAGCCCGAAGCCGGAACACTGCTTACAAATATTCCCCTCATCTTTTCCGAGCCCGTCCGACCTCCCTATTTTCCTTGTCCTTCGTGCTCCTCGGAATTTCGGGACTCACCCAGCGCGAATATTATGCAAGAGAAGATTTCGTTGCAAAGCAGGCCTGCAGACTTTCCGGTAGCCTCGCTGCTTTACCGCGATAGAAATGGAAGACGGAAAAGAATATTTCTGTCTTTCCGCTTACCACCGGTAATCCCGAAGCGGAACCATCCACCATGCATGACGGAAGAGACTGTCTCGTACTGCCTTAGATACTGCTCCAGTTACTACATTCCTCTGTCTTGAGCGGAAGTTTTCTCTTTTGTACAGAGCCGATATCACCCGTGACAGCCGGAGGTGGCACAGGAATCAGTCGCAGAGGAGTGCCTTCTCGCCCGCCTCGCAGGAGAGAGTCTCCCCTCCAAATATACCTCCAAAGCTCTGGCGCTAATGGCGTGGAACACCGACAAAAATATCTCTTTCCGCGCGCTCGCCGTCCGTACGCAGCTACGTACGTCTTCGAGAGGAACGCAGTAACCTTCGGAGAGAACCACGCGGGACTTAGCTAAGGAGTCGATATCTCGGACTTCTTGGATTGCATTGAGCTCCATGCAAGCTCTTCTGGCAGTCCTAGACTTCCGGACTAGGTGGTCAGAGCGCTTAATACCATCGGACATTTTCGTGAGTCCAAAAGACGTATCCCCCCTGCTGCTCGACTTTCACTGGAGCGTCGATGTTCAAGCTAAATTGACCGTGTGAGCTCGATGTTCGGCGGTGTTTCCTTGTTCTTTCTTTCCTCACCTCTCCCGTAGAGGAGGCCCGTCAGAGCGAGGGTGAAGCCCATCGGGAAAAGGAAGAGCGAGGAGTTCGGAGTGAATTAAGAAGGCTTGCGTTTGCAATGGGAGCTTCCTCGTTTTATTCTCGTTTCTGCTCGGAAGGGAGGTGGCCGCGATGAGTTCCACGACGTCATATGACGGAACGGAGATGAGGTTTATCGATAATAAACATTCGAGCAATTCAACATCGAGTTTCATCCTTTCGAATAAATCGCTTATATTCGAGGAGTTCTATGCTATATTTCAGTTCCTATATCGAACCCTTTCCCTACCCATACCCGCGTAGCGAGACAGCGCGGATTCGAAACCCGATTTGCATCGTCGAAGTTGCTATACGCCCGTCATCATCTCCGCGCACCGGGTCTTCGGCTCTGCTGCCATTCGCCGTTTGCTGATGAGCTCTGTGAACTCTCCGAGCTGTCGAACTTCACGGTCTCGACTTGCCTGTCGAGTGTGAGACAAATGACGACTTCACGTCATGTTCACGCCTAGCCTCGGGGGAACTCTTCGAGTGTGCAATGTCGGATCAGTTTCAATGCCATCCTCCGAACAGGTCCTCTGGCGTGAGAATCGCTCGACTGTGGTCTCGAATCATTGAATGAAACCTCGATCCCGGGTCCACCGCAGACCCCGGATTCCGCGTGGATTCAGCCCATCTTCGGCTGTCACTCTGTTGCTCCAGACGCGAATCAGCATCAGAGTATGGGTTTATATGTACAAGGTACCTACACAGATTCGCACAATGATTGTGTTTACGTGTTATACATGTGTACAGTCTGTGCTGACTGACGGGACTTACATTCGCGGGTGAGATTGAAAGGGTCGTCGGATAGCAATGTGCTGGCGGTCGTATTCACGCGAAACCTCGCCTCGGGCGCCTTGTTGTGGATTTCCCGAATCACAAATTCATACACACTTTCCAACTCGCGCATCTCCTCGGTGAAAATTGTACCTGGAAGAGAGTGTGCTCCTGAGTCTCGCTGAGGCGTCTACCTAAGTCTGTTTCAGACGATGCGAGACGCATTCGTTTTTCCTGCAGGTCCCTCGGATCCTCTGTGAGAATTCATTCAGCTGTTCGCATGTGGATATGAGCCTGGTCGGGTGGCGGAATGCCGAGGTGGCAGAGGATGCGGGACTAGCCTTATCTGATCTAGTCCGATGCTGGGTTCATGGATTGGACAAGAGCCCGATACAAAGACTCGGGTGACGTCGATCTCTAGTTCCGAATACCTCGGGAGCATGTCCAGAAACGCAATAATTCGAAGTCCATCGAGAATGATACGACGAACTCACTTACCCAAATTAAGAAATTGATGCGCCCGAGGATTCTGGTGTTTCGAGGCAGCTCTGCTTCCATAGCGATGTGCGGCATCCTCAGCTAGAATAGAAACTCCAGAATTATTCTCGAGCACGATCATATCCAACTGTTGACCCACAGGAAAACAGGAGTCCCCACGAGCGGCGGGGAATAGAAAGGCGCCTCGAGGGAGAGAAGGGAGACCCACGGGGAAAATTTGGGATCCACGCTGCCTGAGGGAGCGACCGAGAAGTGTCGATACCCTTGTCGAATCGCGTAAGTTATCTCGTGGAAGATCGAGTCATGGGTGGAATCTTCCCATCCTCATACAACTCGGAGGCCTCCACCGGAAGGGTTGACTCTGCGTACGTGTATCCAGAGTCCGCACCCTCCCGGCAAGCTGTAATGTCGCCCCGCCGGCGAAGTCCTCTGCCAAACAGCTTGTGCATGAATGCTAATCGGAGATTTTCCTCCAAAAATTATACCCAAAGTTTGCCGTCGTCGAAGCGCGCCTGTTTGCTGCGCCTGCGTCCCTGTGGCGTCGACTTCGCCACATCGAGATCATGAATATTCTGATTGCGACAATTCAGCGCAAAACTCGGAGCACTTCAACTCCGCGAGCCAATACGAGGACGAATGAGGAACAAAAGCTCTGTCGAACACTAAGTAGCTTTGCTGGTGCTGCTGCAGCTTGCTCGGGACGCGGTTTAACGTCGAGGGCCTCATGGAACATCAATAATTCCGAGGAACATTCGCTGTGAGTGCGTTGTGCGCTCGTGATCTAAGTTGGTCGACGCGTTTCGTAAGCATCGTCCTTGGATCGTACAGCCGCGAAAATAAGCACCAGGCCATGTCTCATTCGAGAGAAAGCCGCCCCGCATGGCGAGTTTCGACGGAGTGGCCGAGCTCTGAAAAGCGCACGTCACGGTAGAGCTACAAAGACGCCTCAAGAAATAGGCGCTCCTTCCTGAATAAATAGCGTGGGTCAGATCGAGTGTGTGGACGCGTTCATTCCCCTTGCAGGTAAATAGGTCCATGCGATTCTTCTCACGTCTTTCTACTCCGAGGGCGACTCGTGATCCCGTGCGCACCCGAATTATAGGGGGCTTCTTCCTCGGGGAGTCTGATGAGTCGAGGAGATCTATGTTCCGGATGCGTTCCTCCGCGGACCTTCCGAAGAGCAGGATTGTCTTCTCGACACTCTGATAGTCTTCTCGATAAGGACCAGCTCTGCGGAAAGTCCCTCATATCTGCCGAAATCGCCATGCACGCGTTATCAGCACGAAATTTTCAGAGACAATAATTCCACGAGGGGGAATACGACTCTCGAGTGTATTATAATCACTCTGGTGAAACATTGCAAGTGCAGCCTGCCGCTTCGGTGCAAAACTTGGCGAAAGCGAATGGGCGGAGGCTCCGGATCGGCCTGCTTTGAGCATTTCATTAGGTGCATCCGCTGCGGGTGCTAGTAACTTAGCTGAGTGAGAGTAAATATGGAAATACGATCTCGCATCATTAGTTGTGCTCATGTTCGCATATTGAAAGCTGCTCAGGCTACCGCTTTCTCGCTTACCGACTCTTGGAACAAACCCATCTCGGGTTTTCCCTCGCTGGTCCGCCTGTGTCCCGCGAACGACGCGGCAATTACATCAATCAAATCGATCGTCGAGGAATTAACCTTTCCGCACAAGTTATTGTGCAGTTTCCCTCCATATCCCATTTGCTCCCTCCCGCTTTCCTGTCCTCATGCATTTAGGCGGACTGTTCCGTAAATCATAAAAAGAGGCTCGTTCCCATATTTTATCGAGCTGCGTACCTACAGGCCGTAGTCGGTGGCACTGTGAGCTCGACTCGCCCACAATGTCAACATAATAATCGATTTAAGTCGAACGTTCTGCTGATCGCTCATGATCGATGAGTGGGTCATCTGCTTCCCCGTCTCTACAAAGGAACCGTCTATGGCGGTCGTCGTGATCTATTCGTTCACGTTGCAGAAGCGTCGATGTCTACGGATGGGAGTTTGCACTTCGTGGCTCAGCATGGGAAATCGGAACAGTGTTATCAAGCCTAGCGCGTGTTATCCATCTGGAATGACGCTATCGAACCGCTCCGTCTCTTTACCGGTGCCGAGGCGATGCTCGAGCGCACCGACCAGGGCTCTGATATATGTAAATATGAATTCTATGGACAACGAGTCGACAAAATAGTTTTCAGAGGATGGGCTTCATCAGGCATATATCGCGAAACACGACCGTGAACGAAGGTGCGGTTGGCCCAAAACCGGATCCGTCGAATAGATATCACATCCGGTCGCAAGCTGCCCGAACGGGAAGAGCCCGCCATGGGGAGCTCGCTGCAGAGCCTCGTGTTCCCGAACCTTTACAGAAAGGAACAAATCAAGTTGGGACGTCCATCGTATTATTCACGCCATTCGGTTCTGATTCCCCTCTTCAACGGAACGAGCTGTGCCAAGTCCCGAATCGAGCTTAGCTGTGAAGGCCAACGGAGGATATGACGCTACCCTTGGGCTGGAAGTCGGAATACGCTCGTACAGCTGCCTCAGGGAGCGATGCGAACGCCACGCCGATCACTCGGTTTCCCAGCGACTCGTCAATTATTGTCCTCAGCTGCTCACATACCGGCATTTTCGATTTCTGAACGACGAATCGGACTAAGCAATCATTTCATGCGGTATCCCCTCTGAGGGAGCATGGCAAGGCACAACACGAATCCACAGGCTACTGCCCTCGGTATTTCGAAAAATGGGCCCGAAACGAGAAGCATTATGTCGCAAGCGCATTGGACATGAGTTTTCCTTGTCGAGCCTCCATCCGAATTCTAGAGAGAGAGAAGCCTTCGGGGCAAACATTCGGGGCGCCACGTTTCGCGCCCGCGGCGGAGTTTCAAAGACGATGTTCATAAAGGGCAAACCAACGCCGTTCGCGAGCAGCTCAGCGGTGCTCCCCAGACGCAAATTACATTTTGTACCGAATGGCGTTCACCAAGACCTTTGTTGTTGCTGCTGCACGGCCTTCGGAAGCAGCGAAACCATTTATTCCGGACGGCAGATAACAAGCATCCTTGTCGGATTCGCGTCTGGAAAACTTCCGGTCTCCGACGCGCAGAACTCTCACACTGTCTCCGAATCGTGCCGCAGCTCCTCTGCTCTCGGCTCTGCCCTGTTCATTGTTCACCGCCGCCCATCCCGGTCAGCCGCCGCCGGTGAGCGACACCACGGTATTCGACCTTTCTCCAGGCGAGTGGGAGCTTGGCAACAAGCAAAAACCCACCGATGGTCACGTACGGAGAGCGCTAACTTCGCCGCTTATAGCCTGCGGGCCAAATTGATATTTATCGCGAGCCGCATTACCTTGTCCGGCTTGGAGGCTCCCACAAAGTATAGAGCTGACGAGCGTCGTGATTTCATAATCGGATCGGTCAAATTCTCGGCAAGCGCTCCGTCCGCCGCCCAATCCAATTTTCATGCGGACCCCCCAGCAGCCACTCGCCATATTCAATCCTTTTCCGTAGACTCGAGTCAACATTGATACGGCCCCGCGCTCTCTTCTCTCCTTTCCGGAGTCGGCGGTCCTAATCAAGCAGGGGAAAAACTTCTCAATTCATGGAGCTTAGAAATGTATGTAAGTCGACGAGCGGCGGTGAGCTTTCGTACGTGGAGCTTCTCTTTTTCCCGCCGCACTCACATCCGCTCTCCGAGCAGAGAAGAGGTATTCGAACTCACGTTCACTCAGGAAGTGAGTAGCCGCGTCCAGTAGACATTGGTATAAATTCCGAAGGAGCCCGCGGACGACGCTCCGGATCTCTGTCTATCACAATACAGTGCCGAACCGAGCACATCTCCGAGGAGGTATCTCCCAGCCACAGCGGGGGGAGCTCGGGACTCCGACGGACGAGCGGATCTCATTCTCAGATACACTCACTCAGACTGCCATGCTTCCCGATGAGGGTGGGGATGTGAATAAGTCACGGGCTCCTCAGTTTGCCTCCGCGCTTTGTCTTTCTGCTTGCTTTCTCACTTTCTTCCTTTCTCTTCCCAGGTACGGGACTCGCCCACCCACTTCTCGCCATGTCGTATTTTCGTCCATTCGTGTTATCGCTCAACGAGAGTGCAGGAGTTCCGCTCCGATCCCGCTCGAAATTCCTCCTTGCGCGTTCAATGCGGAAAACGACCACGGACTGGCAGCAGAGGAACAATGGGGATGCCGAACGGCCTCGCTTGTGTTGAGAGAGTTTGTTTCCGGGAGTCGAATTTCTCGGACGCTTCCGCTAGAACTTCGGCAGGATTTTAACGCTCGAATACACGCGAACCGCGCATTGTGCCTCGTTGGAGATACGCTGCAGGTTATAAGGAGCGAGTCGACGCTGCTTTTCCGATACTGCAGACATCATTAGGGACATCCCTGATGTCGACGGTAAGGGCTCGCATACATATGCCGCCATTGTTACGAAGGTCCATTTCTGTCGATCGATGGTGCGTGGCTGATTCACGGAGTATCATCTCTAGAATTGGAATCTTCCGAGTATGATCGTCTCTTCTCCCACACCTAGGTCAGCGAGCCTTCGACAATCATACCACCGTTACACGATTCCCGATGATGGTGCACGCGTTCCCGGGTCACTCCGAATGCGATGACTCAAGCCTCATGCTCATGGCGAGAGCATTACTTCTGCTCAGAATGTGATCCTGCACTGACCTCGGTACAATACCCACTATACCGAAGGCCTCCTCCGTGATGACGGCTCGACGGTCGGTGTATCTCACAATGTTGATTGGCGAATGAAAAGGTTTAGAATTACACTACAACGCGCCAATCGACCGTCTGAATTCGAGGTCCATCAGGTTTCCAGACTCTTGTCCCTCGAAGCACAATCTCGTTATCCATTCTCGCCCAGACGACCCGACCTCAGAATAACGGTGGGGTCCACTAGCGAAGGAAGGGCGCAGTCGAGGAGCCAAGAGGCAGAATCCTTTTTCTTTTAAACTAGAACGATTGCCATGTGACAACTTCTATGGACCAGCGGTTTCGTAATTCCGCTCGTGAATGAATCCCTGGCTTGTCCTCA